GGCCTACAGGGGCTGGCATTTCGTTACCCGTAAAACGCGTTTTTTCTAGGGAATTTCCTAGGGACATATCGGGCAAATATCTCTCCACCCGGGCCTTAAGGTGAGAGTAATGACGATTTCTGCATCACCGTATACTTGGCGCACTAATTAATGTGAATCATTAATTAACCTATCAAATCATTTGGAAATTATTTGGGGAATTTTAGGGAGAGGGTTCCATAATTTGGGGAGATCTCGTTGATTAATTATTAATTTTTTTTAATTAAAGCGTATAGTTAGCGAAAAGTTCTTATTTTTCATTTTTCTGAATTGATAATTACATAGAATCATTTGGAGATTCGATTTCTGTAGATTTCATAATTTGGGAAATTGACAACGGGTTGATAATTAATAAATTAAATAATTAAATGAATTTCCAGCCGGGCGCGTGCGCGCATGCATACCCATTCCATCGTTCGTCATCGGGCGCACTAATTAATGGTAACCATTAATTAACCTATGAAATAATCAGAAAATACTTTGGGGAAATTTAGGGAGTAGGCTTCGTAATTTGGGAAAACCTCGTTAATTGATTATCAATTTTTTAAACTTAACATACGTAATTCGCGAAACCTTTTTTTTTTTAAGGAAGGATCATTTGGGGAATTGATCCCAACTGTTCTTCTAATTTGAAAAATTGAAAAAATTTCAATAATTAGTAAACCAGTTCATTGTTGCTAGTTTTTGAAAAATCGAAAATCAAATAATGCACTTATTCATATTGATTTCCAGTAAATTTTTTCCCATTTTTTTTAACTTCAACCATCTTTGTCAGTTGTTTACTTGCCGTGTTATTATCATAGGAAGATCGTCGTTTTCCAATTATATTTCACCGATGCACAAAAAAACGAAAAATTTATGTTTCATTCAGTTTTCCATTGTTTTCTTTCAACACTTAATGTTTTTCTTTCATTTGAAAAATCACATTATTTTGGATTTTTGGCAGGAAAAAACAGAGAAATGGAAGGAACATTTCCACTTTAATTGTCTAGTGTTCTCTTTAAGAAATGACGTTGTGTGAATGTTCTTTGAATTAAGTTTTCCCCTAATTTTCATGTCTCTACAATGTTCTTACAAGGAAAAACGATAAAAATTGAAAATAAATCACAATCCAATTTATCGCTATTTCGACAACTCAGTGATCGAAGTTTGCTTTCTGATTCATATTCGGTTGCTGCTGGATTTATCCTCTGTAAAATTAGTTAACAAATTTTCAATGAACAATATTCAACTTTTTTTAAACGAATGTCGATAACGAAGGAAGGAACGGGTGTGGACTCGCGCATGCGCAGGGCTGGAAATTGATGTAATTATTGAATTTATTAATTATCAACTCTTTATCAATTCCCCAAATTATGAAATCTACCGAAATCGATTCCCCAAATGATTCTACGTAATTCCCAATTTAGAAAAATAAAAAATAAGGAATTTTCGTTAACTATACGCTTTAATTAAAAAAAATAAATAATTAATTAACTAGATCTCCCCAAATTATGAAATCTACTCCCTAAATTTCCCCAAATTATTTCGAAATTATTTGAAAAGTTAATTAATGATTCCCATTAATTAGTGCGCTAAGTATACGGCGGTCTATCTCTGCTCCTACCAGTCCTACACGGTTATCGGCATTCTCGGCGTCGTGCCCTGCCTTATTTACGGATACGACCTCTGATTTCGTTCCGTAGCCGCCGCTACGAAAGAGGGTGTTGAACCTTTACCATTACCTCAGCTGAGCGTATCGTATCATCTAGTAACTGTAGTCCGTGGCTGGACGTTACCGCAAATTTTATAGATCTTGGTTGTATACGTTTTTGACTTAAGAATAATTCAAATTAATTAATTCACTTGATGAGTCCTGATTAACTCATTGTATTTTCACAATGACGGAGTTCTCTTTGGGGTATCGGGAGGTTGTGCCTGATCAAACTCGACCGGAGAAATGGAAAGAAATTATTTTGGATACCGGTAGGTGGTTTTGGATAACCTACAAGACTTTGTACCCAACATTTACCAAATCGTTAATGAGAATTAATGATTTTCTGTTGCCTCACTATTTATTTAAGTGTTTTTTGTTTCATTTTCATAAACTAAATATATTTGGTGACGGAAAGATTTTTCAAATTGTTACTTAAGCGTGCAATCACAAAATGCATTGTATGTAGTCTGCAAAATCACCTTTTATCAATATATCGAAATGATCAATCGATCCATCGACCAATAGGAAGAGCAATAAAACATTAACAATGAAAACAATCATTAATTGTCAACCTCTTTTATGATAAAGCAACGAAAAAACTTTTTCGATTTTTTTAAATCATATTCTGCGAAATGAATTCACTGTTCATCTTGTGCAACAAACTTCATGAGATATAATAAAACTAGCATTTTATGACAGAATGACTAATTTCGACTAATTGCTGACGGAGATATCGTAACTAAATAACATTTGGTAATGAAAAAAAAATTTTATTCATCTAATATGGATTTTTAGGTGGTAGTCAAAGCACCCTCCAAGACATTAAAGTACCAGAGCGAGCGGGTGGCTACTCATACAAAGACTCCTACAAATATACCACTCGTAACCGCTTCATCTACTGGAGAATCTGCCACGATATCCTCGAATTGATTGAGCACTCCTTGGACATCAACTTGGTGAACTGCAAGGTTCGCTACAAGTTCACCAACACACCTATATTAGATGGCATTACAATTCATGAGACGATCAACTCGGTAATCATTCTAATTGCAACAGTGTCGAGTGTACATAAATTAACTTTCCCTCATCCAGACAAGATTCACAAGCAAGACCGTCTACTTGGCTCCCACCCCGACCTCTCACTCCAATCAATTTTGGGAGAAGCATCTACCCAAAATGCTCGGGACCCTCACTCTTTTCACATAATCTCCTCTCCAGGGACTATAAATACACCAGTATCTCATGCAGCAGCCTCCTGGCTTTCTCTTCCCCATGAAGAAGCTTTATTCGCTCTGGCTTACTCCTCAGGAACTATTCTAGTATTACGACTTGATTCGATAACGGGATTGATCCACACAAGTGAACTCAAACAAGACTCAATTGTTCCTCGGTTCCTCTCTGGCATTGCAACCGCTTTCAGGGGGAAAAATAGTGAAGCGCAAGTTGCTATGTGTCTTACTCTTCATAATTTTGCCAATGATTCTTACCTTTTTGCACTGTGTCGCGAGGGAAATGTGAGAATGTGGTCGTGTAACAAGAGTCAATGTGTTGCTGTAGCAGATGTAGCCACTGAAAATCGTATAGCATCTCAGGGAACTCATGGACACATGCTGAGGAAAGTTCTGGGAAGTGATAATGAGCTCTATTTGGGAACATATTTGAAGTTCACTAATGGTTGTGAGTTCAGTATATTGAAGCCTGTGCAGGATGCTGGACTTTTCAAATTTATTAGAGTATGTACGTTATTTGCTCCTGATCAACATCTGGTAGATTTTAAGTTTACCATGACAAGGTTGTGGGCCGTTTGGAGAATCACTGAGATGGATAAGGTTGCAGTTAGTCATGCTCAACTGCCTTTAAGTGGAGCACAGGTAAGTTTTTGATAAACTAATTGCAAGTTATTTCTCTAGTTTTCATTCGAAAATACAATAATATTCCGATAATCAATAAATTCCAATATAATCGTCTGAAAATTTCCACTGATTTTGCCAATCATTTTTTCGACGCATAATTTCAGCAGTCATGATTTTTAATCGTTTGGCACGTATTTTTTCGACGTGTGTTTTCAATGCACTTTTTCATTCCGCACCATGAGTAATTCTTTTGTCTCATAGCATAGGAAAGTTTGAAGAAAAAATGACTAACATTGATGGTTTTTCAAGTTCAACCCAATTTCAAATTCTCTAAAAAATTTAATACATTTGAAATGAAGAAAAACGCAAAAAAAACGCAAAGCAAATACAAACCGGGAAAATTGATCACAATTATACGTCATATTTTTCGTATAAACGCCGATTTGTCAGTTTCTTAAACACTAAATAATTACCTGAATGGAAAATAAAATAATTCTCTATTTTCTGTATGAGAAAAAGACCATTTTATTTTTCTAACTAAGCGCCTTGAATGATTACAACCTTCTTTTCCAAATTTCTCATGACGTTCGACATAAAAAACATTCGTGTTACAGAATGAAAAATTGGATTGGAATAAACGTTAAAAAAATGTCTCAAACGATTAATTTTTGAATGAATATTCAAATATATCATTTTAAGGCGAGGAGAAGGGTTCGTACTCATAACCAAGCCTAAAAAATTCCTACTTTAAGTCTTCGTGGCACGCGTCATATATTCATTTTCTAAAAACATATTTTTCACGTTTTATGATATATTACATCATTTCCAAGTAAAATTATGAATTAAAAAAGTAATTAAAATGCCAATAATGAGGGATATTATAAAAAATCGCACTTTTTTTTCCTACTTTAATTTCAAGTGAAATTCGAAAATGATATTGATATGCATGACCGAAACTGTTGAAACTGTTATAGATATCAACAAAACTTATTTTTCTATATTTTCTCCAATAATGTGTCATATCGACTATAATTGCCAAATGCCGTCCTGGTTACCGTAAATCTCCTAATCCAGGGCAATATATGGTCCTTTTAATGGACTTTTTGATTTTGGTTGATCGTAATTTGATACTCTAGCTTTTGTGACTCATTTCACAAAGAATCACAAATATCTGTAGAAATTAATAAAGAAAAATGAATACACTACCGGAAGAAATAGTCAGCTTGCAATTTTATTTGATAAGCTCGAAAATGAAAAATGCATTAATACGGTTACGTATTTACTCTAGTTGATTTCTCAAATTTCTAATGAAATGAATAATTAATGAATAATGAAATTTATTACGATGTAGGTAAATTCCGAATGGGAAAGTGCAGTGTTGGAGCCGCCCCCTGATCGCGACTACATCCTCACGGATCCAGGAGTGGATCCTCGTCAATCTTATATAAATCATATCTTCCATCCCGGCCAGTTTTCTCTCACTGACATTATGCGAGCTTTGAGTATCTACCGGAGACTGAACCTCCTTTCTGAGGTTCCTCTTTCTCCAGCAGTCCTTAAAGAACGAGTCTGCATGGCGGTCGAGGCCGAAATCCAGTCAGAAGTTATGGACTATGAGATGACAGACGAAGACTATCTGGAGATTGCCAACAGATGTTGGTGGAAATTCTACTCTTGTGTAATTCAATACCATATCAATGGAAGCCGACCCATTGGCCTCCTTCTTCTCCCGTCAGTCTATGGAATCGTCTTATTGAAGAAATCATCGTTCTCCTTGTTGAGACCAATGGAACCTTTGGAGCATTTGATGTTGTCCAATGAGAACTGTTATGCCTCACGGTTTAAGACAATGCCCATATTTTCTCAAGACGAAGATACATGTCAAGACCTTATTGCCCTAATGAGTGCTGTAATGCTGTTGGAGAAACAACTGTCAGAAGAAGTTAAAACTGGCATTGAAAAGGATCTTTATCATTTAAAGAGTCCAGACATTGTGATTGAGGATTTGTTTGCACGAATGTCGTTGGAACCTGATGATCCTCTCTCAGATTTCGACTTCCAGATGGAACTGCATCATAAACTGGAGAACGTAAAGGATCCTTCAGGTGGGTCATTGTGCATCATTTATTTCTATCAATGTTACAAATGACGAAGTTTACGAGTTTCCAACTTTGTTTTATCGTGATGAAATTGCCCGTTAGGCGCGGGATTAGTATCGGAGTTTTTTTATTTTGAATTTTCCGTTTCGATCCAAAATATTGTATCACATTCCCACTTTTTGGTGTATTATTTGTTTGTATTATTTTCATCATTTCGTAACGATTTATAGTTAGACCTATGTATATATAATATGACGAATAGAATATTCTTCAATGCTCGCGATTTTCCATTTCGAAAACAATATTATATTCACTTATAATACCACGAGAGCTTGGAAATTACTAGCTATTTCCCGATAGGTTCGTTGCAAGCGAATGAACGTGTTCAATTTTCCAGGGTAAAAAATCACGAGCGCGAAGCACGATTTCACTGGAAAACTTGACCAGCTCGTTTATTTGCAGGGAAGCTAGAAGGAATTATCCGATTAATTTCGAATCTCGAGTCTTATTCGGGGCATAATTTTGTTCGTTTCAATTTCAGCCGATAGAAGTGGACTATGGAAGGAAGTCTATAGTCAAAAAATGTGAAACCATGTTTGAACTGAAAAAAGAGATTTGAAAAGATCATAATTAGTATACTTCAATACGAGTGAGACGAGCTGAAAATTCCTGGCTCACATGTGGCGAACAATATTTTTTAACAGTGATTTAACGTTCAGCGAGTGCCGAACTATGCTTGTTTTGTTTATTAGTAAAAGAGTAGGCACTTTTCGGCACCAGGTGAACGTAGCAGCAATGTCCAAAAAAATTTCACTCGATGAAAAACACAAAAAAATTTTTTGTTTTTTGTTTCATATATATATAGGTAAAAGACAAACTATTCGGAAAATAATCAGTTCTATTACCACGAGAGCTTCAAAATTATCGAGTATTTTCTTGGGAACCTTGAGGAAAATACTCAATTAATTTTGAAACTCGAGCGGTATTCGTCGGATTATTTTTTCAATTCAAATTTCGGTTAACAAAGTTGGCCCATGAGACGAACCTCACAGTTGTCAAATACAAATTTTATTCTCAAAACAAATATATTTTAATTCAAATTAAGGGATCGAATTAAATCTGTCATTGACATCTGGGGTTAATTCGACTGGATATTATTTTGTTTCTTATAGATAAGAACTACCAGACAAAATTATCAAAAAATTATTAGTATAATACCATGGTCCTTGGTACCACGTGACGTCGAATGGGCCAATCCTGTTAACGGAAATTCGGATTGAAAAAATAATCAGTATAATATGGAGTATCTTCGTCGAATGGTGCGATTCTATTGGTTGGAATTTGGGCGGAAAAAACAATCATTACAAAATAAACTTTCCATTTGTAAATATTTCTGATTTTAATTTTGATTGAAAAAAACTACAGACATATCGATGTCATTCTTCTCGGCGTTAAGCACCAAAATCAATGAACAAAAAATGAATTGATGTTTTAAAAAATTTACAGCTGATAAGAGTAAATCTTAAAAAAAATCGTTTCCACTATACCTGGATATATCGCCATGGCATTGAAAAAATTTGCTTCTATATTTCAAGTATTTTACTTCTTATAGCCGCAATGGCAATGCTGCTGGAAGCTCTGACGTATGATCTTGGACAATCTGATAGAATGAAACTCGATAACGAGCCTGAAGTATCCAGATTAATGCTGAATATTGGACATTTATTTTCGAGTCAATTGGGTGTTTCAATGATTGCTGAGAGTTTGTCGCAGATTGCATTACTTAGATTTTCCATCTGCAGAGATCTACTGATTTTGCAAAGGATTGTCCTGAGTAGACCTGAAGCGTTTGACTCGAGAATGTTACACTCGATTAAGTCATCGCTAGCACCAAGAACTGTAGTATTGACGCAAGCGTATTACGTTGTCATGTGGATAAGTGAAAGTACAGCAACTGCCACATCTCCTCAAGCCCTCTGGGAGACGAGTGTTCAAAGGCTTGGAGTATTGAAGCTAATGGATATCAGAGGGAATACCAATAAGCAACTGCGCTCGATGAGCTTGCTCGAATTGTTCGTACAGAGTGGAGGTGCAAAGGTATGATTATTTCGACTGGGCTTTTTTATTACTTCATTTTTGCAGAGATTTTCAGACGACAAAGTCAACTTCCTACAGAAAGTCTTCCTGTATTTTCAATGATAAAACACCGAGGTCTCCGAAATTTTTCCCATATTTTTTAAAGACAGCGTGAATATCTGAATGTCTCGCTGAAATATTGTGATTCATTTCTTAAGCCGAGTAGTATTTAGAGATTTATTGCTCTGAGAAATTTTCTTGAAAAGTAGTGCAGTTTCCGTGGAAAGAGAACTTATAACACACTGGGGAAAAAAGCATCGATTGGACACATATCTTCTTGATTGAAATTTGCAACAAACTTTTTTCCGTTCGGACCCTCATCCGCGAATTGATCTTTTTACCTAATTGCCAATGCATGGCACTAAACGATAATTTGCTTTTCCAACATTCTCTTCACAATTAATTATAAATTTGAATCCAGTAGATGCCGGTTTATATCACGCTAAGATAACAAAACTACATTCAAGTGGGTGCATACTTTCACCAATACAGGACTTGAATTCAGAAAATAAGAGATTAAATGACCTTGAATGCGCCCATCGTCTTATCTACAGTGAAAAAAAAAATTAAAAGAATGATTAATTTTCGCTTCGGAGGACGGGCTTTAGTAATTATAAAATGCATAATGATAATTGTACTAGGAAGAAAGTTACTCGAAATCACTCCTCATTTGCTATTTTCAAACGCTGGGAACTTTTAAATTTAAAAGGCTGAATTCACATTCCAAGAACAATTGATGTCAAACGATCACGATTTTCAGAAAATTATGTGGTTGGCCAAAAAGTAAATCTTAGAAAATGAGAATTATTAATGATGTTTGAATTATTATTATATTTAATTAGCATTTATGTAAGACACGAACCTTCAATTGTTTCAGCAAGCCCACACTTTGATGGCTAATGCGCTTTCTCTCTCGCTGACATCCGTTGTTCCTTGGCATTTCGGGTTGCTGAGTCAACTAACCATTGTCGCCCAACTCATTTGGCCCATCTCTGGAAACTTCGTCTTTCCAGAATGGCTTCTTTCATCTTGTCAATTCCTCCTGGTTCAGGAGTACGTTCGATTGCTGTCGACCTGGTGCGAATGGAATTCTGCCTCTCGTCGCTTCATCCTCGCTGTGTCACTCTTGGAAATGGGCGAGCCACTTAAAGCGTGCGATCACATTCTCAGAGCTTCAAGCGGAATCCTCACCGATAATTTCCTCGCTTCCACACTTCTAGACTCCCCAATGTCCTCAGAATCCCAAGCCCTTGTCTGCTATTATTTAAAATCAATAGAGCTCTTCTCCCAACATAATGCTGCTGACTGCATTATTGAATTAGCAGAGGCGGCTATCACAGTATCTGATAAAAATGATCCAAACCTTCCAACACTTCATTCCATCATCTTCACCCAACATTTAAATCTTGAACATCATACAGAAGCTTATCACTGTTTGAACTCAAACCCAGATGCTGAAAGGCGGAGTGATTGCCTTCGTCAGCTTGTCGTGACTCTATTTGAAAGGAAAAAACTTGTCGATCTTGTCTCATTCCCATATGTAGACATGTACGAGGACCTTGAAAGAATCGTCATGGGAAGAGCCAGAAGTGTGGATTTGATGGAGAATAATTACTACAACTTCTTGTACAGTTTTCATATTAATAAAGGAAACATGAGGAAAGCAGCTTCTGTAATGTACGAGCAAGCGATGAGGTTAAGTCAGGAGTCACACTCGGTGGATATTATTTCGAAACAGGCTCAGTGTCTATTAGCTTGTATTAATGCCATCAACCTTGTCAGTGAGAAATATCGGTGGATTGTGAGGCCAGCCGTAGAGCAGAATTATCCGGATGAGGTCAATCCAAAGAAGAAGAGAAGTGTTGATGGGAAAGAAGTACTGCATTACAAGGCGAGTAGAATGTTAAATCAACAATTTATTTGGCATTTAGTTGGATCTCTGCATAGTACTTCAAAAGATCATTATTTATGCGAGCGATCGTCATTCAATGTTTTTTTTATATGATTGAAGTCCCAAATCACTTGAGTCAATAGCCTCTTGAAGCTATGCACACATTCAATATGAGGACGTGTAAAACTTTTCCGGCGAATATGATATTATATTATCATATTCGCCAGAAAAAGTTCTTCACTTCTGCATCTGAAATGCTAGTTTCTGACAACGTATGTCAACGATATTTCACACAATGAGTGTTTCAAATTCTGTTTCGAATTGTTTCGAGTTCTGTGGGCTACTGTTGGGATTGGAAAAAAACATCACTTGTATCCTGTACCACAAGAGCTTCAAAATGATCAGATATTTCCACATAGATTCGAGACAAATAAGTAAAGGAGTCCAGTTTTTTAAATTAAAAAATCACCAACACGAAGCACTAGTGATTTTCCCTGAAAAACTTGGTGACTTCATCCATATGGAGGGAACATATGCGAAAATATTTGATAAATTTTGAAGCCCTTGTGGCATTCACGACATTATTGTTTCCACCCAAACGTCAACATAACAAAAGTTTACAGACCGGTTGGATTATCTGGAAAAGATAATTTACTCCAAAATTAGGATTCCTAGTTACTCTGGCAATTAATCGTTTTTTTTTTCAATAATTGTTAGCTAGCGTTCTAGCGGTTGTCAACAACTACGCCGCTAGCTAACAATTATCGGAAAAAACGATTAATTGACGGAGTAATTGGAAGTCCCAATTTTGGAGTAAATTATCTTTTCCAGACAGTCCATCCGGGCCTTAAATAAATAGCAAAAATAATAATATGAACCATATGCGGCAAAATAATCTGTGTTTGAAGGCTCACTGCAAGCGAAGAACCCGAACCCCGATCTTTTTACATGGTACTTGTTCACTTGTTTTTCGAAAATTCTAGTCGCAATGGATTATACACTTGAATCAATTCTGCGTGTACTTAAATCGCGGTAGCCTAACAAAGGAATACGATAACTATATGAAAGTGTGTGCATACTTTCATTGAGACGGGTCGCTTTTGGATCGAGTCATTTCGAACTTTAATCAAAGGAAAAATGGGAAAAAAATTAGAGGCGATGAATAGCGTACATTTCACCTTGACTTAATCGATGTCTTTTTTCTCAATACTTTTACTGAGTTTCTGATGGTACTCTCTACATGGTATGAGAAGATTGTTTTACTAGTCTCTCTCAGCTTCGCCAATCCCAATATACTCATACGCTGGTATTGAGAATTTTTTAGCTGAACATTGAATATGATTTTTTAAGGTGAAAAAACTAGTGGAAGTGCTGGAAATCAAGGACATTAAGAAGGAATATTGGTTAATCGATGCTAGATTAAAACTATCAAAAATGAGCTCAGAGATTCATACAGTAGCACAATCAGAACCTTCGGAATTAATCGCTGTTCTAGCTAATGTTGGATTATATACAACTGCCCTCCATCTTTGTGAAGAGTTTAAGATTTCCAAGTGTTCAGTCCTAGAAACATTGAGTTCACAGTCTCTGAGATTGAGTGAAACTGAAAATAATGATGCCTGGGATTGGTTAATCCAGAACAATGTGTATGATATTGTTGGATGCAGCGGTAATGCTGCTGATGTCTCTTGGAGACTCTTAGAAAGATTGACCTTGGACAATGAAAAGGAGGAGAGTAGTGAACTGCATAAGGCGGTAGGGAAGAAACTTCTGCACCTAGGCGCGTTCCTGCCGCAGTGGTTGATGAGATCATATAAGATGAGGAATCCTGCTGAATTGCTGAGAATAATATTAAGTAGTGGGAGATTATTAGAGGCATGTGACCTGGCGGTAGATTATGTCAATGCTATTCTGGGGGACGGTATAGAGTACTTCGGATTGAAGCAGCCAATTGTTGCAACTGGTGTCCCTGTCTGGCTACCTTTCAATACTATTGAATTGCTATTGATGGAACTTAAGGAAGCAATGAAGGAAGACAATACCTATGTCGAGGTAAATGACCTGCCATTATAAAATTTCCTGCACAGTTTCTTTTACAATAATTGTTGTTGTTAAATGTTAAATATGCCTAAATTAAATGACATGGAAATGTTTTCCATCTGCATAAAATAATGAGTTTTCTTCATTTTTATAGAGCTATGGCCGGCTAAAGAAGGCACTTGATCTTTATGTCGAGACCGTCGTGAGAGTTTCTGAAGATATGGTGCGATTCAAAGTCAGCAAATTAGCAATTGAACACAGTGAGTATTGGCTTTATATACTTGTATAACTCCATTTCTTGTCGATTGCTTCACGAATTTGTTAATTAATTTATTAAGCGATTGTTTACAAAATTTCAGATAGCCTATGTGAAGGGGAACCATGCTAACAAATCAGGAAATTATTATTTATGCATGAGATCAAATGGGGCATTAATATTTTATATCAGCATTTCAGTATTTTTCTCAGTATTTTACTCATCTTGTCGATTGGTTAATAAGGAAAAAATATAAGTTATCAATCCCCCATTTAACCTTATGTCCGTTGTTGCCCTGCTCTTAGGGTATGCGAAATTTTTCACAAAATTTTTTAATCAATTCATCAATTTATTCAAAAGATTCTATCTCGCCTGATTTTTCGAATTGTTTTCTGCCTTGGTTGTGACCCCTCAGTATTATTTCATCCGTTTTCCATTGCCTTTGAGTATTTTGTCTTAACAGAATTGGTTTGAATCAACAGAATTGGTTGATTTGCATAGGTATAAAAGCAAGAAATTATTCTCATGACCACCATCAAGCGTCTCAGTGACCCTTTATATTTATTTGACTCGTCATTAGATTATTGACCCCATGGTCCCTCATGTCCCAATAAATAGCTTCCACTTAGATACTCCCTGACCACTTGATAATCATAGATAACTTCCATATTTTCCAAATGACGAACATCTGTAACGGTCAAGAATCTAACGGTAACTAGTTATTGTCGACACCTCTGGAACTATCAAGAATTAAATGGCTATGTCCAAAATGATTTAATACACTTTTTATTAATTTCAGAGACCCCTTGACTGCCATAATTGCTCAAGAATCGACTGAAAAACTGGACAACTTAACACATCAATTCTGATTATTTTTCTTCATTGTACACTTGTAAAGCTGATCACATCATAACTATGATAATAAAGGAACTTTTTTTATGACCTAACTATATTATCGGTTGAACATTATCTGGAGCTGACTTGAATTTCATTTTGTTAGGCTAAAATATTTTATAATCTGCAATAGACTTTGCAATGTTTAAACGACTCTAATGACTAATAAATTATGTTCTCTTATTTATTTTTCAACAACCTGGGTAGAGCCAATAAATTCAGCCATTTCACGGTATCCTAAAATTTCTTATCTCCTTTGTGGTAACTCATTTACAATCATTAGTGGTTTAAATGCAGCCTTAAGAGCCCTTTGCCACTTTTTGAAACTGCGCCTTGCGGCGCTGATATGGACACAAAGATATGCCGACATGCACATATGAAAATAAAGTTGCAATAAAAAATGACAACTTTCCATTCATGAAGTAACTAATAACTCATTTCGATTTTTATTAATAAAAAACAAGCAAGAGCAGAGAAGGCAGTGTGCTTTCAACACAATCAAACCCCAGCTTTCTGGGTTGCTGACGAGGAGTCTAATATGTTGAGCTACTTTGAGATTGTAATAGTTAATTATTTCTAATCGTACATACATTTTCAACATATGATATCATGTTCCAACTGGTGGTTCAATTAAGGTTGTTGTCGCGTAGAGTTTTTTTTCGACAGTTTTCGTTAACAATTTTATGGTGAATAGTTTGAAAAATTAGCAACAAAATGAGCCTTTTCCGTTTGCAATTGACCGTTTTGAACTTGAGATATAAATTTTTGAAATTCGAGTAATTTAGCACGTGTTTAAATGGAGTTTTGCCGATTACAATTTTTTAAAAATCAACGGTTCGACAGTTTCAGAAATAAAAAAAAACGTGGAATATACATCGTGGGAGGAAATACAGAAAAAAAAATCAAATCGATTGACCGTTTGGTTTACGGAATATAATTATCGGAAATTCATAAATTTATATAATTGAAAATAGTTAATATGGAAAATATATAGTTATGCTTTAGCTATCCATGCACAATGCAATCAATCAAGTGAGACTATATACCGCTAAAAAATTGTGTTCTACACTGGCCCGTTTTACAGCGGATAAACTTTTTACAGAGACTGTCGCGCGACAACCACCTTAAACAAGCAGTTAGCCATTTCTAGTGGTAGAAGCTACGACTATTCATATTAAAAAATACATACTTATTTCAAATATATTTTATACTCGATTCGAGTTTATTCGATTTGAGATACTGTCGTTGATTTTTCACTTGAGAAAGGTACGAAATTTTAGTTCGTCTCACTGCATTTAACATTGATTTTGGTGAGCTTCAAAAAAAATCTGAAGACATTCGAAACAATATGAGGGTTTAGAATCCAGTGGAAAGTGGCAGTAAAAACTCAACCATTCATGTGATTCTTTCGGGATTCATTTTGGGTCGCACATAGAGGACCAAAGTGACGGATATTTTTGAAAAACCGCCAATTGATAGAGGAATGACCAAAAAATCACCGTCCTTTATAGCATTTTTTTTGTATGCAGAAAAGACAGTCATTGAGAAAATTATCAGTCATAACGTCAATTGGATCTATATAGATGCTGTGTATTCATTATTTTCTATTTTTCAAAAATTCCAACAAAGTTTTTAAAAAGAGAAATAATGACGGAACCGCCCCGGTAGTGCAGGTTTGAGTCCTGATGATGAAAACATTTTCTAAACAATAAGTGTGGGAGATATGACATTTAATACATCGCTGACTGCGTTATCCAGGGCTACGGCGAGGACGGGGCAGTGTGTCGGCCCCAAAGACACCACATGTTAGCACATTTAAAGACAATGGACACACAGAAACATGAATTTATCTAATAGTCCTGAGCACTTCACTAAAACTCTGAATTTACCTCTCCTGACCATCTACCATCGCTTAACGAACACCACGAGTGACTTAACCGCCGCTACCGTTCTGTAGCTATTCAAATTATGAGTTCAATATCGCTCTCTCGTTACGTCAACAGCGACAGCACAGACGGGGGAAGGGGGGGGTGGGGGGGTGGTAAGGAATTTCAGGGACAACAGAGTTTACCTCAGGACTATTTATCGATGTATTTCTCTCTTTCTTGTTTCTCTCTCTTCTTTCGTCTTGTTATTGACTAGGGAGAGGATGAGAATGGTTTCTATCTCACCATTATTTGTGACAAACTGAGAACCATTTAGCGCAGACACCACAGGTGAACGTGTCATCATCTCTACTCAAGTCCTCTTCTTTTTTTCCATAATGATCGAGACAAGAATATTTAGCCGATCTGTTGCGTTTGTGGCACTGAACCCAGGTTTCATTTATTGTCATCATCTCATCTCGTCCACAGTATAAGCACAGTCAACTTACATCTGGAGATTTCAGCAGTATACCCTACCTTATTGTTGTGCATTTGGCGTCTGGATCGAGTGGATGCATATTAGAAAGATGTCCAACGAGAATCTGTTCTATATAATGCATGACAAAAATGCCACAATTATAATTATCTTTCTGCTTATGATGTGGTGAAACTTTAATGGACCAGGAGCAAATGAGAGGGGGAAGGCTAGGAAAATGGATGGTTGAATGGGAGAGCAAGCAGAGATGATTGGGACACGAGAATGGTGGATTTGGAACTCCTGATCCAGTCGGGGATAAGTGGATGGAGAACAAGTGGATCAAGCAGAGTTAGCGGAGACAAGGGAGAAGAAATGTTCAGAATAAAGAGCCAGCTGAGGAAAATTTAGGAGAGACAGAGAAGAACAGAAGAGGAGTTGGTAGAGGTGAGAAAAGAAGGAGCAAAATGGAAAGAGATTGCATACTATTGGAGAGAACAGTTAACGGAGACACAGAGGAGAAAGGAGGAGGAGGCTGAGATGGTAAGGATGGAAGTCAGGGGTAGAGGGAGGGAAAAAGACAGAGGCTGGGGTGATATAACAGGCCTGGAGCATAATCTTACAGGTGGCACAAGGCACTCAGAGGACACAGGCTCAGGAGAGACCCGGAAAGCGGAGACAGGCGATAAGGGGGCAGAACTCGCCCGTAGACAGACAAGTGGAAGAGAGAGACAACGAGGGAAGTGAGGAAGATGAGAGGAAGAAGCCGACGAGAAAGCAACACAAGAGAGGAAGCTTTACGGAACAACGCCGAGATTCGGGATCGAGCGTGGAAGAGGGGGAAAAAGAGGGAATATAAACGAAAAAACCCCAACCCCACCCGGAGAAATTATCAGAGGAGGATTGGAATAGAGAGAAAGAAGAAAGGAGAAGGAGGAGAAAGAATACAAAAATAAAGCGGCTGACGCTGTTGAGTAGAAGAAAGAAGGAGGAACTGGAGAGGTTCATACAGGAACAAGTGGGAACAGAGATAAGGGTAGAGCAGATGGACAGAACAGGAAAAGGAGGATGGCTGGAAGAGCTGGAACAAAAAAAGGAAACGATGAAGAATAGGGGGAGGTTGGTAGAAAACGGCTGGGGACTCTACTTCCCTGATGATTGGACAGATAGACAGAAGGAACGAGGTAGTGGCTGGAGGAGCAGGCAAAAGCCTGGAGACAGAAGGGGAATGAGGCATGGACAACAAATAATAGCATTTGCATAGGTGAAACATGACCGGAATGGGATGAACTGAAGGGGGAGCTGAGGCTGAAGAGAGACGAGGGAAGGCCCTGGGTAAGGAAGCCTTTTTAATCGGAAGGCTGACAAAAAGGAAGAAGGAATATAATGTTCCAGGAGACACACTTGGAGGAGAAAATGATGAGGAAATTTTTGAATAAGCTAGACAGGAGATTTGAGTGGTTCGGAAAGACTGCGAAACGGTCCCACACAAGAGGAAAGGCGAGGGGTGGACATATATTGGGAATCAGGAGAGCGTTAAAAAGATTGTGGAACGTAGAAGAATGGGAGTATGGCTTGAAGCTCGAATGCAAGGGGACGAAGAACGGCTGCAGGTACGTGGTAATGGGCATATACAATAATAACAGAAGGAACTTAAACAGGGTCTTAACGGAATTGGAGAGAGTAACAGAAAGGATGGAAAGGGAGGACCTGAGATTGATAATAGCAGGAAATTGGAATGCAAGGATAGGCGAACTCCAGGGACTGGCAGACTGTGGGCTAGAGGAAGGACCAAAAATAGGAAAAAGGAAGGCTCAGAACTAAACGATTAGGAATGAAGGGGAAAGGCTGATTAAATGGTGTGAGGAGAAGGCCTTCCTCATCCAGAACGGGAGAGGAGCAGGCGATGAGGAAGGGGCTATAACATTTATTGCGGAAGGCGCAGGTCTGGGAAGCATCCTAGACTACGTACTAACAAAACTGGAAGAGGATGAGGAGCCTGAATGGTTCAAGGTATTGGAAGAACAAGAAGGATAGGACCACCTACCCATAATGTTTAAACTAGGGTAGGACCAAGAGAGAAATGAAGAAGAAGTGTAGAGAGCAGGGGAGAACAGACTGAGGTGGAAAGAGGAGCGAAACGAAGAATTTAGGACAAAATGGTAGGAGCAATGGGCAGATAGTTCACGGAGAAGTCGGAAGGGGGAGGGCATGAATGAAAGGTGGGAAAGACTGGTAGAAACAACGACAAAAGCAGTTGGGGGGGCAAAAATGAAACGCAGAGGGAAAAAGAGAGCAAGAGTAGAGTGGGATAATGGAGAATACTCAAAGGGAAGAAGACAAATGTTCAAAAATCTAAGAAAGTTTAGAAAAAGAAAGAACGGACAGGATAAACAGGAATATAACCAATCCAAAAGAAGGTTGAGGAAACTAAGAGGCGAATTATTAAACGAATGGATAGAGGGGAAACAAAGAGAAGTAGCGGTAAGCAGGACAATGACAGACTGGTGGAAGGCGATGAATTCGTTCAGGAGGGTCTCGAAAAAAGAAGGAAATGGAATCTCAGGCGAGGATTGGAAGAAACACTTCATAAACCTATTGGAAGGGGAGGAACCCCCAGAGGAAACGGGAAGGAGACAGGATGATGTGGGGCCGACGGACCAGCAGGGAGGAGAAAAAGCGAAGGAGACGAAAGATAGAGAAAAAAAGGGGGAGGAGGAGGCGAACGAGCTGGACAAGGAACTTGCGGATTGTGAAATCACGGGAGCATTAAAGAGGCTAAAGAGCGGAAAGGCAGCAGGCGGAGATGGAATAATGGCGGAGTTCTGGAAAAACGTTCCAGAGGAAGAAAAAAAGGAATTGAGGACGATACTTATGG